TTCTCTGTGGTTCACTTTGTATGGTGTCTGTCGCTATGTCTTCAAATTCACTGACTTGTCCTTCTACAATACCTAATCTGCTATTAATCCCACCCAATGTATTCTTCATACTAGACGTTGTAGTTTTCGTGTCTAGAATTTCAGTTTGGGTCATTTTCAACCTTCCGTGTCTCGCCTTAGCACGCTCAAGCTTTGTTGAACATACAGGGCTATACAGTTATGATAGCTGTTTTAGTGGTCTTGTCTACCAGTTCTATCTATGTAGTTTCCTCTTCTGCATAACTAGTATTCAGCTGAGAGAAGCTTCTGCAGATCTCTGCAGCTCTCCATGCAGTTTTCTCCTGTTACTCTGCCCTGTGAATTCTAGCTTCCTTGGCCCGTTTCATTTGTCTATTCTCTCTCCCCAACTCAGGGAAACTGCTAGATACTATCTAGGTTTTCCCCTCCCTGTGCTGCAACCTGGAAGCATCTCCCAGCTTTCAGCTGGGGCTCCCATGGGACTCACCTCTTCCTTTTCTCAAGGGCCACTGCCCTCAGTTACCTGTTGTCCAACGTCTGAAAAAGCCTGTTTCATGAATCAGGCCCCATTTTTAGCTGCTTAAGATGGAAGGATAAATCCAGTCCCTGTTACCCTATCTTGGCTGAAAGTAGAAGTCTCACATTGGCTTTTCCAAAGCACAAAACTGATTGAGTGCAATGACAAGTCATTGAAAAATTTTAGGAAGGAAGTACCAAGTTAGATTTGAATTTTTCAAAGGTGACTCTGGCTAAGGGCCACTAAAAGATGCTGGGGAAACGCTGGGAACACATTTCCAAAGTAAACCTTGACAAAGTCTGAGCATCTAGACTAAGAAAATGGAACTCATTTGGCTTTCTCTCCTTGCCCACTATGCTCAGAGCATTCTGTCCATGCCAGGCAAGCGTGCATTCCTAATGCGGAGAGTTGGAGGGCAGTTACCAACTCTGTCTCTATGAATACAGAGGAGTCCCTGGAGTCCCAAACACAGCTCACCAGAAATCTTAACTTATCTGTTCAGCCATGGACTCAGGAACATGGGACATTTTGTCCAAGAGGCTAGCCAGGACAGCTTCCCAGAAAAAGGCACTGACAACCTGGGTTCACATTTTCCTGGATCCACCACTGTCTATGGCATCTTGGGCACATGACTTAATCTCTCCAATCCTCCACTTTCCCATTTGTTCAATGGATGTGACATGGTTGTGAGACTGCAGCTGCCCCCCTCCCTAGAAAGGCTTTAGAACACTGCCTGGCACACAAGTTATGCAATAAATGTTAGCTAATATGTAAAATTATCATTACCTTTTCTATTACTACTCTTCTTTCCTACGTGAGACCTACCTTGACCCAGAAGAGGATCAGATGTCTCAGGAAAGGCTACGGCCCTTTCTCCAAGGGATTTCAATTTGTGTCAGTGAAGATGTGTAGCTCAGGATTCTCCTGGAACATAGGACCAATTTTCACCGTGCACAAACAGACTGCTAACACCACCTGACCCTATCACTCTATTAGGGGCCAGCTGTCAGTTTAGAGAGCCATACTGGACATAAAGTTTCCAGTTCAGCCACTGACTCGTCATGAGACCTTGGGCAAGTCAAAGCTTCTCTCCAGGCCACTGTCCCCCCATTTATGTAATTGTAGAAGGTCTAGACACCCCCAGACATATCCTGCTAAAATTCCTGAAGTTTATTTAGGAAATCTTGCGAGCTTACAGGAAGAACAACTTACTTACAAAGGAAAAAGAGTCAAATTAGCATCAATCTAGAAGTGAAATGAGCACCTATAGACTACTGAAAGCAAAGACTTATAATCTCATAATCCTATCCTCAGCCCGTATATAAGTTACCGTGGGGGTGAATGAATGATATTTGCAAATTCAGAAATATTTAGGGACTTTCTCAGCCATTTATCCATTCATCTATAGAAAATGCCCTAGAAGAGAGCAGAGGCACCAAATTAGGAAATAATTGGTTTAAAAATCAAAATCTAGATACACACTTAAAATCACACGATATAGAAAGAATGAAAAAAAGATAGGCAAAGAGATAACAAGAAATGCAAACATATGAGGTGGATTTAAGGCTAAAAGAAACAACAGGGTAAAAGAGGGATATTTTTAAATGTTAAAGAGAACAAATAATAATAAACCTACACACAACAAAAAAATAGTAGTTAAACAGATAAACATTTAGAAATGCAAAGAGAATCTGACAAAAATAAAGTTATAGTAGGAGACTGCAAAATACCTCTTTCAGAACCCAATAGACAGATCAAAGAGACAATTACAGTAAGTGCCTAGAAGAATCTAACAATGTAATTAACAAACCATAACTTTATAGTTGAACAGAGAACACACATTTTTTTTTTTTTTTTCCTGTGGTACGCAGGCCTCTCACTGTTGTGGCCTCTCCCGTTGCGGAGCACAGGCTCCGGACGCGCAGGCTCAGCGGCCATGGCTCACGGGCCCAGCCGTTCCATGGCATGTGGGATCTTCCCGGACCGGGACACGAACCCGTGTTCCCTGCATCGGCAGGCGGATTCTCAACCACTGCGCCACCAGGGAAGCCCGAGAACACACATTTTTATGTGGCCAAAGAATATTTCTAAAAATCATCTGCATATTCATCAAAAGAAAACATCAACATTCAAAATAATAAAGGTTCTAGGGCCACCTACAGTATCCTAAAGCAATAATTAGAAATAAAATTAAAATTAAAAGATAATCTCAACAGAAATTAAGAAACACTCCTAAAATACCATTATTTCAAAAAAAAAAAACTATTGAAAATAAGTCTGTTTCATACCAAAATCCATGGGATTAAGGCAAAATCTATGCCCAGAAGAAAATTTACAGCAAAAACTAAAAGTAATCGTTCTTGTCTGTATAAAACAAACAAAAAAATTAACACTTTTATTAATTTAATGATATAGAAGAAATAATTTATATGAAAAAAAGAGAATTAATACAGTAAAAACCAGCTAAGATTAATGAAATACAAGATTAAAAGTAGTTAAAAGGATAAATCCAAAGCTAGCTTTTTAAAAAACCAAGTGACAAATAGTATGAAGTTATCATGAGCCTTGTCAAAAGAAGTGTCAAAAATATACAAGATTTTATATGAGAAAGGACGCATAAGCAAAGATAAGAAATACATTGAATGAATTATAATAGAATACTATATGCACATCTACACAATACATTTGAAAATCCAGTGTAAATGAATAATTTCCTATCAGACTATAAGTTATCAAAATGGACATAGTAAAGAGTAGAAAAGTTGAATAGAGCAATTTCTGAGGTAAAAATTGAAAGATGGTAGACATTTTCCCACTACAAAAGGCACCAGGACAAATGATTTCACACCAAGTTCTACCAAATATGTAAAAAGCAAATAATCCCAATGTTACTTCAACTATTGCAGGCCATATAAAATACAGACATTTGTGCATTAATTTGACAAGCCATCATAACCTTAAACTTAAAAGATTAGGCAAAAAAAAAGCAGGCCAATCTCACAATAATAGATGATTTTTAAATGATTTAAAAAATTTTAGCAAATAGACTTAATGTATGGAAAATATAGCAAATATATCCACGTATGAAATGAATAATAAACCCTGACCAGGTGGGATTTATTAGAGCAGGTTACGAATGGTTTGGTTAATCAATATCAAGATATCTAATAACATAATTTATTACATCAAGAAATTAAAGGAAAACCATATGATCAGTAGATGATAGAAAAGCAGTAAATAGAATCAAGCAATTATTACTAATAAAAACTCTATGTAAACCAAGAGCAAAGCTGCTAAATATTATAAAACATATTCCAAAAATAGTGGCAAATATCATTCTAAATGATGAAATGCTGAATCACTTTAATTAAAATCAGGAGCAAAATGAGGCATGACTGCTATCATCATTATTGACATAGTTTTGGCGGGTCTGTCAAATGCAACATGTCAAGAAGAGTACATAATTTTTATAAATATTAGGAGGGATATATTTTCATTTTTCTCCTGATGTGATTGCCTTTCTACAAAACTCAAGAAATTCTAGTCAAAAAATAATAAAATCTGGGCTTCCCTGGTGGCGCAGTGGTTGAGAATCCGCCTGCCGATGCAGGGGACACGGGTTCATGTCCCGGTCCAGGAAGATCCCACAAGCTGCGGAGCGGCTGGGCCCGTGAGCCATGGCCGCTGAGCCTGCGCGTCCGGAGCCTGTGCTCCGCAATGGGAGAGGCCACAACAGTGAGAGGCCCGCGTACAGCAAAAAAAAAATAATAATAATAATAATAATAATAATAAAATCTGCTATGTTTGTTGGTGTACTAGAAAAAAACATTTTAAACAGTAGTGTTTTCTCTATACTAGTCACACCAGTTAGAAATAGAAATGAAAATATTCCACTGGCACAAGTAAAAATCTGTAAAATACAGAGGAGTATGTTTAACAAGAAAACAATTAAGGTCTCCAAGCTCTAGTCCCAACAGTATTTCACTCAGTACAAACCCCATATTTGGGTAACATCAGACCCTCACTATTTCATTTCATATATGTGTGTCTTTGTGCACCCTGTTCCTCCTGTCCGCCCATGCTGTTCCTCCCTTTTTCATCTGATAAACTATCTGTCTTTTAAAAATCCAGCTCAAAGCTGATCTCCTCTGATACCTTCCCCTAACCCCCCTTTAGGCTAACGTTCACTTTAGGTGAATTTTCTCTGGGGAGGGGGAGAAGATTGAGAGAAGGAAATGAAGGAAAGGAGAGAAAGGGAATGAGTTGTGAGATGAGGGGAAAGGAGGGAGAAAAAGATGAATGGGGATTAAACAAACGCTAAGAAGGAGAACCTGCCAAAGCCTTGAAAAGACCTCATAGCTCTAATGTTTGAAGCCCTTGCAGCCTTCCAGGTCTCATCCCCTTCCTGTCCACCCTACTGCTCACCCCTACCAGGATCTAACTCCCTGGTGACATCTGTCCAATTTCAGACTTAGACATCAAGGATGAAATCACCCAAGAGTCCACTCAGCTCTCAACGCCATACCATCGACAAAGCATCATAGAACCCATGTTACAGGATGCTATCTTTGTCCCACGGAAGTCAACCCTCTTGCGAGATTGGGTTGGCAAGACGCCCGACGCCTCCTACGAGCGTAAGCTGAAGAGCCTCATGGAGAAGGGCAGTGAGCCCAGGATGGAGATGGTGAGGATGCTGAAGCCGGAGGAGGTGCTGAGCTGCCGGTGAGCAGCCCTGTGCAGGTGAGGCTGGGCGCATTCTGCAAGACCAGGCTTTGCTCACGACTGTCTGTGGTTCATGCACCTGGGCTGAGCCCGGAGCAAGGGAGGGTGGCTGCAGCATGTCCGGGCTCTGTCTTTGAGTCCCAGAGGGCTGCTTCAGGGCTGAAGCTGTTGGGTTTCAGAGCAGCCTCACTCGCTAGAGGATCGTCTCCTGATTGGACACGACATTTAGGTGCTGCCATTTTGAGGCCATGCCTTTGGACACATACACAACCTTTCTAAAATTTCTGTTTCACAAAAGAAACCATGAATATTATTCACAAAGGAAAGAATGAGTTGTTTGTGGCCTTGTTTTAACAGGAAACTCCCCCAAGATCCTTTACACTAATGGTGTTGAATTGCTGGTGACAGTAGCCGCCATTCCCAGGGCTACCTGCTGTACGTTTCGGGTTTTAGACTCCAAAGGGACCATGAACAAAGTATGAAACCATTTGGTATTTACTGCTCTTACCAAGGGGTCTCACTTCTTGCTTGTTCTTTGTCATACTTATCAAGACCCACTGGTTTTCAGCAACACCAAACAGCTTGGTTTCTGCCCCCAGATCCAAGCATCCCTCCCCAGCCCAATGTTATTCTTTACTGTAAAGATGTAACCGACAACACTCAGAAACTTTGGCAAAGGAGGAAATAGGACAAGAGACTAAGGTAGTCAGCCTTGTAGAGTTCACAGCAGTGAACTCGCCTGTAGGTTTCAGACGGCCTCAGATGCCTGGCATCCGAGGGCCCCATCACACAGTCCTGCTCTGCTGGCTGACTGGCTGGGGTTGGAGGGGTGGAATGGCTAACTGGCTGAAAGATGGACAGGCAGTCTCCTCGACTAGAGGGGGCTTCTGGCTCATGCCACCTCCACAGCTGGATGACTTTTGCTATGGGTTTCAAATTGATAAAATGGTTTTAATTGACTCTGGCCAAAGACAGCCTACCTGGGCTCCATGGTGGAGAGAAAAGAGAAAAAGAGACTTGGACAGGGTAGGGGGAGAGAATATTTGGAGAGATGGCAATTAACAAACCATTAGAAAAACACCCAAGAAAAGGATGAAATTGTCCTTTGCAATCTTAGTGAGCATTCACAGGTAGATATGTGTGAGATTGCCCCCTGGGGCTGGGCTGGTCAGGGAAGGGTGGGGCCGACCAAGAGCCGTCTGGGAAAGGTAGTACAGGTATAGGGGCTGGTGAGTGAGGTCTGAGCTGCCTGTAAGAACAGGGAAGCTCTGGGCAGATCTTCAAAGAGAAGGGAAGTTCCCCGGTGGCCTACTGGTTAGGATTTCAGGCTTTCACTGCCAAGGGCCTGGGTTCAACCCCTGGTTGGGGAACTAAGATCCTGCCAGGTATGGCCAAAAAAAAAAAGAAAGAAGAAAAAAAGGAAAGAGTAGGGAGACCATTCCCAATGGGCAGAAAAGCCAGGTTCTATCAATATGCAGCTCCTCCCCCACCATCTGTAGCAAATTAACCAACCGGAATGCAGCCTGAATCGGGGGGCCTCCCTCCTTATACTAAAGCTGGGAGCAAGGTCAAAGTTGATGGTGGAATGAGGGATATGATGGTAGAGATACTGTCTAAATCACATAGATGGCATCAGTCCTATTCTTCAGTACAAGTCAGAACGCTGGGGCTTTAGCTAATATTTTAAATCAGTGTTTTAATTTTAATTTTTTAATTGAAAATTGTAATTGTTTGAATACTATTAAAAATACTCACCTCTGTTCCTACAGTTTTCTCAGCCTTTATTTCCACTGTCCTGGATTTCCCCCAGTCCTTGACCTCACTCAGATTATACACACATGGCAGTGATGAGAGAAAACACCTAACAATTTGCATCCTGGTTTCCCCCCCATTTGGCAATAACGTCACAGCCATATTGCGTCTTCTTCCTAACGACATTTTAGCACCAGCAGAAGAGTCCTTGAAACGGATATTCCATTTTTTGCTTGACCATTCCTCTGTTGATGGAATTTCCTATTTTCCTATTGTGGATAACCCCAAAATAAGCATATTTGTTTATGTAGCTTTTTTTTCCATTGGATTCTCTTCTTGGGATAAGTTGAGGACCTGAGTGGAATTACTGAGTCAAAAATAATAAACCTGTTTTTTGGGGGGCTGGGGCAGGAGGTGCTTGGCGTATATGTTGCCAAATTGATTTCCAAAAGAGTTATACCAATAAAAAAAACCCACCAAGTCTGTGGGGTATCCCAGTCCTTCTTTTCTTTTGGCGGTACGCGGACCTCTCACTGTTGTGGCCTCTCCCGTTGCGGAGCACAGGCTCCGGACGCGCAGGCTCAGCGGCCATGGCTCACGGGCCCAGCCGCTCCGCGGCATGTGGGATCTTCCCGGACCGGGACACGAACACGTGTGCCCCGCATCGGCAGGCGGACTCAACCACTGCGCCACCAGGGAAGCCCTGTCCCAGTCTTTTATGAGACCTCTGTCAGCTCCAGAAATGTCTGGAGGGCCAGTCCCTTACAGAGATCCCACACTGACGCTGTTTAACTCTAAGTTCTTTTCAATGAAGTTTGCGCCTGCAGTGACTCCACCCTCAACTGACCTCTTTGGCCTTGTCTCACACAGATACCTGAGGGTGTCCAAGAACAACATTCGAACTTTGCTCAAGCTGTGCAAGGATGCAGGAATGAACGTGGACATCCACCCGCACGTGGTCGAAGAAGAGATAGATGCTAAAAAGGTGTTCAACCAAAACATCAGTGTAGCCCTCTAAATAGCTCCTCTCCCCGGCCACCTCAAGCCCCCTCTGCTGTTGGACCCTCGGCCACCAGATGCCACCCTCTGGCACACCACACCTGGCTCTTCAGACCTGGGGCGTCCCCTTTCGACAGTAGTGATCAGGAAACAAGGTTAGACTGCTTGGATCATTGCACTGACAGAGTGTTTTGTCCTCGTCATCCAAGTCAGAACCAACGCAGGAGAAACTATAGGTTTCCTCCCCACCCCCCAAAGAACACTCCTTGGAAAAGCCTTCTTAGAAAGGAAGTCTTAGAAGAAGTGAAAAATGGGAGCCCAGAGTCTCCAGAGGGATTTCAGGAGGGACAAAGCACTGAGGGGCTGCTGGGGACACATACACCCCAGGTCCTGCCCAACGATCCCCACTACCTCCTGTGGCGGACACGGCTCTGTGGGGAGCTGGCCCTCGTGTGTGTAGGGTGGGAAGCTGATCGGGAGAACAGGAGGGAGAGGACTCTGCCAACTCAGGTAAACAAGGATTACTCAGAGAAGTCACAGAGGGCAAGGAACTGGCTCAGAGTCACACAGGCGAGAAGCGGCAGGGCTGGGATGGGAAGAGTGTCCTCACCGTAGTCTCCCGTTCTTGCCTGACGGAGCTCCTGGCAAATCCTGCACGACGGTTCGGAGATGCTGCCTTCCTCTCATGCAGCAACTGCCAATGGAGGTCCCTATAAGCACTTCAAGTAAGTTCAAATCCCAACTGCCCCTCTTACTAGCTGTGTGACTTTTGGCAAGCTACCTCCCTTCTCTGTGCCTTTGTTTCCTCATCTGTAAAATGGGGCTAATGATGGAACCTGCTGAGCAGGGATGCTGAGAAGAGGAAACAAGAGCTTCCATGTGAAGCATGAAGCACAGACATTGACACACAAGAGCTCGATAAACGTGTGACCTGTTTCCCTAGTTCCTGGGGTGGACGAGTGGCAGATTTCCCAGCCCCGGCTTCCCCAGGAAGGGTCCTTAAAACTGGGCCTATCGATGTTGAGTCAAACCCTGTTGAAAAGCTGCTGATTCCAAACCCGTGCCCTTCGTGGTAAGTCCAAAAATTAAATGGTCCCTGAGCCCTCCAGGGCTAGTGAACACCCCCAGGGGATGAGGTGTAGCCGCTGGTCCAGCTGGGCCCCGCTAACCAGGTTTTACTTTCTGCCTCCATATACGAAAAGGGCAGGGATTCCACTGCCCCCCCCCACCCCATATGCTTTTTAAATCTCCATGCCCCATCTCGAGGTTCCAAAGTGACCCCTCTGAGGTGAGTGGCTCTCTCCACTGAGAGTCATTGCCCTTGGGAGTTAGAGTAAAAGTGTGGAGGTTTCCAATCCCCCCATGCACCCACTCAAGTCACCACTAAGGGAAGGCAGAGCCCCTTAGGGTTGTGGGCAGCTCAGAGACGTGTGCCCGGAGCACGGCACCCCGGCGATGTTTGGACAGAGCCCACAGCTGAAATCTCAGGAAACCAGCTGTGAACAATTAGATGATAGTCCCTTTCTCCAGCAAATACCTGTTCTTGAGGAGAACCAGCTCTTCTAAAAGGGGAAAGAAAGGTATTTCCTGAGCATCACCAAGTGTCAGGCACTTTGTCGGTATTGTCACATTCAAAATCAAAACCTAAAACCATCTTCAGAGGCATTCACTTCGTCTCACTGACTCAGTGGTCTGCATGAGTCACTGCCAACCTCTTTCCTGCACTGAGTGTTCTCACCTCCAGGAAGTCCTTCTGCCTATCTAACCTGCCTCTCTCTTGCTGCAGTTCGAGCCCATTTTCTCTCCTTTGAGCCACAGTGGAAAGGGAGTAGAAGTCAGTCTCCTTTGTCTAATAAATATTCATATTCAGGGAGGATGTGTACTGAGGAAAAAATGCACAGATGAAATGGCCCTGAGAAGTTAAATGTCAGATACATCACTAAGAGCCGCTGTGTGATATGACAATGACCATTTAGCCTTTCCAACTTCATACTTGTTTTTTCAGTTTTCTGTCATATAATTCCATTTGATCATTTCTCCAGTGTCCTTTCCACATCCCTCTTAAAATGCATTGATCAAGGCTGGATCTAGCCCAGTTTTCTAATAAGGTGCCAGAGACTGGGTTCTTTCTGGTAAGAAGGATTGACTCCAAGGTGACTATAAATTCCATTCATTCATTCGTTTTCTCTCCCCCCACCAATTATACAGTATGGCAGGCTTGCTGCATTCCCCTTATGGTTCACCGAGACCGCTGGGTCCTTTTCTGCAGGGCTGGGGTTTTACATCAGCTTTTTCTCCACAACTCACTAGGAGACCCAGATGCAGGGAGGTGCTCAGGGAGAGGGAAGCCCAGCCCTACTGATGTCACAGAGGAGCCAGGAGAGGGGCCACCTTTCCAACCTCTAATCCCGAGCTCTCCTCGCCAGGTGGAGTGGTCAGGTGATGCAGAGCAGGATGTTTGTGATTCTAACACTCCAGTAATTATCTCCACTGCACCACCCAGTTCCTTAAATCCATCACGGCCCACATTCTCTCTGACCTTCACAAGTTTGGACTGGGGAAAGAGCAGATCTTCAGCTCACCTAGTTCATCTGCTTCTGATCATATCACATATTTACTGAGCCCCACCAGGCCCTGTGGCTGGGCCAGGGACTCAGTAGTTAAGAAGGCCTGGTCCTGCTGGCTTGGGCCATATGGTCCTGAAGACAGAGGAGTAAACAGTAAAATCAGTGAAGTGCAGAGAGCATGTGAAGTGCCTGGGAGACCTGGGGGAGGACCGCACCATGGGCTGGGAGTGGGGAGACAGAAAATCTTCTTTTCTTTTTAAATTGGAGTATAGTTGATTCACAATGTTATGTTAATTTCTGCTGTACAGCAAAATGATTCAGCAAAGTGATATATATGTACACATGTATATACTTTCTTTTTTATATTCTTCTCCATTATGGTTTATCACAGGATATTGAATATAGTTCCCTGTGCTATAAAGTAGGACTTTGTTGTTCATCCACTCTATATATAATAGTTTGCATCTGCTAACCCCAACATTTTTGAGGAAAGCTTCTTGAAGGACGAAACTGCTGATGTAAAACTTTTGAGAATAAACAGTCCCCAGCGTTTTTGTATGGGAAGGAAGAGCAGACCAAAGGAATAGTGTGTGCAAAAGCTTAGAGGCCGGGCAGTACGATGGGGAACCTGCAGGTAGTTCCATCTGCATGGGGTGGAGAATTGACGAGAACAGTGGCAGGAAATCATATGCTTGCAAAGGATTTGTAAGCTACGCCACAAGTTTTTTTTTTCCCCCCCTTGGGCTTGTTATTCATTCATTTAACAAATCTTTATTGAGCACTTACTATATGCCAGGAACTGTTATAAATACTGGGGGTAGAGCAGTAAAACAGAAAAACACATGATTGCTGCTTTCCTGGAGCTTATATTCTAGTTAAATGAGTTACTATGCTCCTCGACACCAATACATTCAGGAACTGATGAGAAAATAAAACCAGGATGCAATGAAAGGAAAGGACTGGGCAGAGGTTGGGGAGGATGTCTTTAGCTAGAGTGGTCAGGGCAGGCCTCCCTGAGGAAATATTTGAGTTAGTATGTGGCTTAGGAGGAGGCAGCCAAGTGCAGATATAGGAAGGTCTGCTCCAGCAGAGGGGACAGCAAGAGCAAAGGCACATGCATGGGACTCAGAAGATGATCACTGTGGCTGAAGCAGACTGAGGAAGCAGGGAATCAGTCAGGCCTTGAAGACTATGGTCCAGAGTTTGGAGTCATTCAGTTGCAACAGGAAACCATTGGAGGGTGATAAATAGAGGAGAGATCACTCTGGCTTCTGAGAAGAAAAAATATTGTGAGAGGGGAAGGGACAGCCTGGTGACTAGTTAAGGAGGTGTATCAATTAGCTATGGCTGCGTAACAAATTACTCCAAAACATAGTTTAAAGAACATAATTCCTCATGAGACCTCTGGTCAATCAAACCATTCTGATCCAGGCCAGGCTTAGCCAATCTAGTCTGGGCTCATGTGTTGGTGGGTTAGCTAGTGACTTCACTGAGGGTTTGCTGGTCTACAACAGCCTTGACCGAGATGTCTCGTCTCTGCTCCATGCACGTCATCCTCTAACCGGCTAGCCTGGGCTGGTGCTCACGGTGGTGGCAGCATTCCAGGAAGTGCACAAGGTCTCCTGAGACCTAAGTTCAAAACCGGTACACCGTCACTGCATGTAGTTCTCAATGGCCAAAGCAAGTCCCAAGGTCAGCCCAGAGTCCAGGGTGGAGAAGTGGACTCTGCCTATAGAAGTAAGGCACTGCAAAGCCAATTGCCAAGGGCCTGGATGTAAGGGGGAATAAAGGATTATGGCCATTTTTGCAATCAACCTACCACAAAAGGCTGTCATGTAGTTCAAGAAAGAGCAGTTGGAGGCTTAAAATACTATGACCATGGTGGAAGCAAAGAACTGAGGATACACTTTAGAGGTAGAGTTGATAGAATTTGTCACTGAATTGGAGGCAGGCATGAGGGAGAGGAGTCACTTGAGTCATCCTTTGGCCAGAGTGACTATTGGGTGTGCCTAAAATGAGCTGGTGGGGTGCCGGGGGGAGGGAGGCAGGAACTAGGGATTCAGCTGGGGCTGGTTGGGTGGGAGACGCGGTCAGCATCCGTGATGCTGCTCCAGTGGTCGCGATGGGCCACTACTGACAGGTAATCACAAGGAGAGTGATGTGATGAAGGACAGATGGGAGGGGCAAGCCCAGACGCAGGCTGTATTTGTTTCCTAGGGCTGCTGTAAAAAGTACCACATTCTCGGGGCTTCCCTGGTGGCGCAGTGGTTGAGAGTCCGCCTGCCGATGCAGCGGACACAGGTTCGTGCCCCGGTCCGGGAAGATCCCACGTGCCGCGGAGCGGCTGGGCCCATGAGCCATGGCCGCTGAGCCTGCGGGTCCGGAGCCTGTGCTCGGCAACGGGAGAGGCCACAGCAGTGAGAGGCCCCCGTACCGCCAAAAAAAAAAAAAA